CACATTTAAATATAGAATAACTCTTCAGTCAAATAATTAAGTACCTCTTAAGTTTTCATTATTTTTTTTTCATTTCGAAATCAGAAATTCCTAATAACTTTTGTTGAATCTATAGTAGCTTTATGACTTAAATAATTTGTTGAAGTTGAGATGTTTTTTTTACTATTATCAAGTAATTATTCTCTAGCGTTTATAGGGAGAGGATCATTTTGTTGGATTTAACAAATTTGACTTTTTATAAAGAATTTTGTCTTTTGCTAAGTAATCTGTTTTTACCGTGTGCTGTAACCAACTGATTGCTGAATTTCGCCGACTCGGTTCGAAACCACGTGAAAAAACTAACTTGCTTAAATTTTAATATAAACAATAAAAATGCTCAGTACTTAGAGTATAGATATCGATTTCTTTATTTTATTATATTATACTATTTAGTTCTTTAGTCTATGGATTTCTTTATTTTATTATATTATACTATTTAGTTCTTTATTCTAAATAATTGAAAATTGAAAAACAAAAATAAAATAAAAACTTATAGAAAATATATAACTTGCGTTTTACTCCTTCCTCCCGCCCGCATCTAATACCTCATTTACATTCAGCCGTAGTGAGCAGGGAAGTGGGCAGGACGAGTGTGTAAACGCGACACTTCTCATGCCACTGCCATTGCCACTCGCGCTGCCCGGTGCTCCCCAAAATGGCGGTTTTTTGTGCGGAAGTTAAAGGACCGGCAGCGCGAGCGGCAGTGCGTGTTTACATTCTGCTCCGACGCTCAGTACTCGCCAAGCGCCTGGAGGAGAAAGACGTTCGTTTAGATACTTTAGATCATCGGAAATGCTGTCCGAATGGAGCAATGAGATTATTTTAATGAGATTAGAATTAGTATATGCATTAAAAAATTAGTTAAGTAGGTAGGTTGATAATTAGGTACTTACAAAGTTCTATTTCGATGGATAGATATCATCCACCATCGTCTACGACGAACATTCTTTTTTTGTATTCGATATCTTTTTAAATATCGAACATAATTATGTATCGCAAAAAGAGACAGCGCGGCCGCTGTAATTATTTCGACGTCTGCCATTGCCGAAACTTGAAAGCGAAGTGAGTGCTAGGGCAGTATGTAAACACACACTCCTCTCGATCCTGCTGCAGCAGTATTTAGGAAATTATTGCCGGCAGCGCGAGGGGCAGCGGCAGGGGCTGAATGTAAAAGGGACATTAGGGCATTTAGTTTCAACCGCGTGAAAGTATCAAAGCACCTTTGTCCCGTAATTAAAACCGAAATTACACTAACGACGCTGATTCCCGAAAGTTCCGAAATAACTGGAAAACAATTTTGTATTCCCGGTTTTCTCCACAACTATAAAGAACTGGAAATTCCCGGTATTGTCGAGACCGGGATTTCCAGGTTCTGAATCCGTAGCGATACAGTCGCTAATCGTCTACCTTTACAAACAAGCGCGTTGCACTTTTTAATGATTTAACAAAAGCGACTCCATCGATGCAAACGGGCGTCTGCGTCGACGCAGTCGCTTTGCGCAACCGCCACAAATCGCAAGGGTCGCGGTGCAATTACGCGTTTTATAAATTATTGCATTTCCTTTTTATAGACTTTACTTAATATAGAACATATTTTCTACTAAATAAAATATTCATTTTTTCTAAAAAGATTAAAGCCGCGCTGTGACCAGGTTTATAATGCCTACTATTATATATTATTTGCTTGTGAAATCTACAAATTGCTTATACACGACCACTCATTCTGATTCCCGTGAGAAGAAATATTCTCTTTATCTAGTAGATATTAAGTTCTATATATTGCATTGCTATTTTCAAAGTATGGGCTACGCAGCCCGACGTCGCATAGCCTCTGTCTGCCTTTCAAAGAACCTTGTTGTTGAGAAGCTAAGTAACAATTTGCATTGCCCGTGGCGGCATAAGCAGCCGACAGGCTGCGCCGAGTTGCGACGCGGCTTTACTCTTTTGTTAAAATAAATGTATACTTTATTCAGTAGAGAATGTGTTCTATTTTAAATTATTAAAATGAGCCTGCCGCCGCTTGCCTTTTTAATTTTTTGTTTATAATTTCTTTAAATCTTATCCTGTAGAAGATAAAGTTTATATTGAATTGCCAGTTTAGTCGGGCGCCGCCGCCTAGCTGCGTCAATCCTAGAGACGCCGTGCGGCTGCCGACATTCTTGCTATTGGCGCTTATAAATAACCTAGAGTCATAAAGCCAGGTTCAATTTCTTTTTCTTTAAAAAAGATGTTAATTAGCTACAGTTTGACCTAGCGGCACTCGGCGGCGTGATAGCCCCCAAGTTTTTTTCAATCTTAGAACTTGATTTTGTGCTTGTTTGTTTTATTAGGCTTTGTTTTTTTTGACTTTTTCTGTTGCTATAACGTTTACCTTAACATGTATTGTTTTATTGAACTTTATAATGTTAATTGCTCTACCTAAAATTGAAAATCACCCGAAAACCATCACGAACTCATGAAATTTTGAATATATTTCTCGTGACAATCGGATAATTTGATAAACGTTTATATGGTTCACATCCTTAGTTACGTTTGGATGACAGGTGTCAAAACGGGCCTATTGTTCTTGTACTTGGCATGTAATTTGTGACGACTGTCGTTACGCGACAATTACTTACTTGATTCGTTGATTGATTACTTTGTTAGGTATACCTACTAAGTCCATTGAGCGTTAGGAGCCGGTAATTTCTAATGAGGTGACTCAACTATTTCACCATGTAACACAATTTTTGGTTTTGGGTTATCAATATCATTTTCTAAGTGGTTCTAACATAAATACTGGAAAAAACGTTATTTCCCTTCAAAAGTTTTTGAGTCAAATAAGCAGAATAAGCACAATTATATTTATTATATAGATAAAGGTAACATACAGGAATATTTTACAGATAAAATGAGAAGAATAATAAAATAACAAATATAGAACGTCAAACATATCATACTAATTAAATACTTATAAAACAGCCAGGGTGTTTATTATTAAACAAAAAAATACAGTCGAATTGAGAACCTCCTCCTTTTTTACAGTCGGTTATAAACTAAAGACCAAGAAGGTTTAACACTTTACTTTCGTGGTCTCTTGAAATTTGGGTACCATTAAGGAAACGTACAAATTTTCGGGTTTCCTTTAGTTAAAGACGAAAAGGGTACATTATATTTTCAATCAGTAGTATATTTTAACCGAAGAAATTGATGACATATAATGGCGAAAAAGCGTAAAAGAAAGATCAATCGGCGTCCATAGAATGCAGAATATGAGTGATAATTAGGTATTTATAAAAAAATGACGGTGGTAAAAGTGTTCTCTGTGATTGTATAGAATTTTTGGTATATCTTCCGGGTATTCTTTTTACGAAAATTACAGAATGGTCAACAACTGCCAGTGTTGGATAGACATATATGGACCGGTATCTAATTGTAAGTCAATGGGTATCTCGGTAAATTTATGCGTTAGGAAATCTTTTTCTTGAGTTGCTATCTCTTAGCGGAGGGCGGCGATCATTAGGGCTATCTGTATTTTAGATACAGCCGCCCGGAACAAGGATCTTGTCCTCAGGTTACTTTTTGTTCTCTGGCTCAGGTTGATCCATGTCCGGAGATTTTTAAGTCACGAAGGACGCCTTATTAGGACGCTGTATTTATTATTACGCTTTATATGACCAAAGTATTGTAGCTTGCGTTTTTTGACGGTAGTCTAGTAGTAGTAGTAGTACTCTTTCATTGGATACTCTATCCGTCCACGACATTTTCAAAATTGTTCTGTGTGCCTACATTTTGAACGCTTCTTAGCGGTTGCTCATATTTTGACCATCACTCTACGTCATACAGAAGAACCGAAAACATGTAGCGACGTGCCAAACGCGCCTTGTAGTGCGATTCACGTAAGTTCAAGATATCAAAATATCCTTGAAGTTACGTAGTCGTTCGGTCGAAGTCCTATCCAAAATTGGTATTCACGTATTGAACGAACTTGAACGAACGTTGATATCTTGAACTTACGTGAATCGCACTACAGGTAGACATCTTCAAGAATCGATTGCAGAGTAGATGTCTCAACTGAAAGTTCGTGGTTGGAATGCGTTAGGGCGCATTTATTCGACACGAATTTCATCGCGCTCACCCTGCGTGGCCGCCGCGTGGTCGCCGATCGGAGTCCGCAGCGGCGGCCGTCGCGCGGTCAAACAGCGGACTCCGCGATGCCGCCGCGCAGCGACCGCGTGCATCTAACTGTCATGGGAAAATACGCTCTATTTGTTCAGATTTTACGTTTTAATTTAAATGAGCGTTCCGTGCACGCGGGCTAGCCTAGCTTGAATTTTGGTCTCCGCGGCGGCCCGCGCGACGACTGCGGGGCGGCCGCGCTTTAATTTTATTGAGAAGAATTTAAATGTAGTTGCATAATAAATAGAATTCAGATTCGTCATTAATGTACATGAAGGCGTGGTAACTGGGCGGTCGCCGCGCGGCGGCCGCGCGAAAACTTTCTTCTCGTGTAACTAGGCGCTTAAGCGCTTGTTTTATCCGACACTTGATCTCCAGGCTACGATCGCATTGGTCGTTTACGATGCAGCCTACTTGTTTGTCCCGTCACTTGACGTAATAAGAAAAAAGCGGCGGTATTGGTAAGAATGGACTCTTTGGACTACTTGATTTCTTACAACCAGATCTGTCGTTGTAATATGCTGTGATTTGATCTTCGTCTTTTTTGACTTTTGCTGAGACCTTAACGTTAGGGAATAAACGAATAATTGATCGAGCTTTGTTGTTGGATCCTGTGTCGGGTTTAATCGACCCGATTGTGCAGACTGTTTAGAAGAGTGTTTTAGTAATAGAATAGAAAGACGAGTACTATTAAAAGTGAGCTCACGCCACTACTCTCCCCTATCGTAATGGTAAGCTGCTTCTATCGAAATATCAGGTAGAGTTTTCTTCACGCATTAAGTTCTTATTTTCTTTGTTTATAGTCTAAAAACGTCTCTCATGCGTTGGAAAGCCGACTTCGACTCAGCCGCCGACGAGTACAGCCAAGCTGGTAAGGGCAATGTTATTTATTACCATAATATGTGTTGCTTTGCATACTCGACTTTGCTTTACAGACGTCATTCTATATCCGAAACAACCTAAATCACTAAAAAAATATATCGATGAACATATTTCGTAAATTCCGATTTTTTATTCAATTGCGGTAAACAAGTTTGATCTAAGACTTGCACAGCATCGGCACTTGCAAACATTTTGAACAATGACCTTAAATGCGCAGAAAGAAACGCATTTTAGATCTATTTGGTGGTGGGGGCGGGTAGCGACGGCGGGGTAGTGTCGTATCGAGCGCGCGATTGGTAGATCAGTCGACCTACTCAGTCGATCAGTCTGTCACGAAATGCCATGTGGTTTAGTATGTACACAAGAATCAGTAGTGCGAAAAATAGAGTTATTAGTACAAGTGCGTATCTATTCTTATGGGATGATGTCAAACGTTTAGTTTACGCGGAGGATACGAGTGTCGAAGATTTTGCTTTCAAAATTGTGAAGTCTAATTTTGAAACGAAACTCACGTGCGAATCTCTGCATAGCTAGTGGTGGCTAGCCACCAACTGTGAGCTAGGTACTTCTAGCAATACTTTCATGTAACCTAAAGTTGGTAAGTACCAAATCTAAGTTACAAAAAACTTTTTTCAGTCAACTTTCTAATTAATGTAAACAAATAGTAAATTATAACAATAGTAGTACATAATCATAATTAAAAAAATAGGTAAATAAGCGATCGAGAAAGATTACGTATCGCTCGGTGAAGCGGGTGGCGGGGTCACTGCCCTTGCGTGGTGCATATGACTTCGAGATAATTTTGAAAAACTTTACTAGATACAATTAGCCAGTATATTGAACAGACTATTTTTTTTTTAATAGTTTTAGACGATTTAGCATTATTTATATTATTAATTTCTTAAATATGGCGAGAATGCAAATCAATACACTGTATAATTTTAGTCTTGAATAAGTGTCCCTCGAAGTGTATAGGCACGTTACGTTACACAACTAATACTACATCGAGCACTAGATGTTTGTATTTATAAAGCGAGAATTTTAAAATAGTTTATGAAATACATAAGTTATTGCACATCGTTACAAGGGTATATTGTGCACATTTTTATGAAATGTCACAGGGATCATCCTGGGTTATTTTTAGTAAAGTCATAATACGCGGTGTGTGGGTCCAACCTTTCGTATCTATCTGCGTCTAATGTGTGTCCAGTAGCCTTACGCGACCACCCTTAAGTGTAGCTTGCAAGTTTGTGACTTATTGCTTCTCTTAAAGTGCTCATTTATTTGTACTTATTTCTGTATTTTAAGATTAACGGTTATAACGGTAATAAGATTCACGGTTTTATTATTAATATAGTTAAATGAAAATAAAGAATGTACAAGCCAGGGTATCCGCGCCATGTTAATGTAAATCGTCGAGAAATGTATTTAAAGTTTGTGTAAAAATAAAGTTTGTTTTAAAAAAGTTTATATACTTAATTGTAACTTTTTATAAAAAAAGAACAATCTCAAAAGTTTGTGGAATTACATCCAAGTTTTATTGAATTCGGTTACCGGAACTAGCGCGAAACCGGATTCTTCCCTAGTTTGCCACCCTTAAAGGTGGACTATTTTCTTCAAATTTAAATGGGACCTATACTGAGATATCCTCTTTCCAACAAAAAAAGAATCATCGAAATCGGTTAAAAAAATACAGTCGAATCAAGAACCTCCTCCTTTTTTTGAGGTCGGTTAAAAATATTAGTAATGTGGTAAAAGTTTTATATAAAACAATTGTAAAGCCAATCTTCACGTTAGGAAATCATTTAATTTTTTTAATTGGGTTTACGTTACAATGTAAGATGCGGCCAGTAGCATTGTCGACATGGTCCCCTCGGTGTGGCAACACGAGTATTTAGGGCCGACGATGCTGCCGCCTACTTTACAAGTGATAAGTATAAAAAAATATGATAAATTTACAAGCCAAATAAAAAAAGGAATGAGGTACAAAGGTAGTAAACAATTTGTACTTATTAAATAATTAACAACTGTGTTAGGGTCGCCGAGAGCACGGTCTTGATACTACGTACTAGGCGTTCCCAGCAGCCTCTCATGAAAGGACTGGCCGCCATGAACTTCCATTGAATTCTTTTGTTAACGGCGAACTCTTGGAGCGGCTGTTCGTACAATTTTATTAATAATTGGTTTGCCCCGACGAAAGCTGTTCCATAGTCAGAGTACAGGGTGGTCGGCGTGCCTCGTCTTGCGATGAATCTGCGTAGTGCCATTATAGCCGAATCAGTGCTCAGGTTCCTGAGGACTTCGAGGTGGACGACACGTATAGTCTGACAAGTGAATAAAGCAACATATCGTTCTTCGCTGCGCCGTGAAACGGTGACCAAGTCTGGGCCAAAGTAATCAAGACCCACGTATGTAAATGGTCTAACATGGTGAGCTAGGCGTTGGGGTGGTAAATCACCGATTGGAGGTACAACAGGTACTGCTTTGCGCATGCGGCAGCGTAGGCAGGAAGAAGCCACACTCTTGACTGCTGGTCTCACGCCGATGATATGGTTAGTTTGGCGTAGTTCGTTGACCACCAGCTCGTTACTGGAGTGGTCCGCACGTTCATGATAGTATGCAATGGGGAGTCAGACAACTTTGTCTTTGCCATGCAGGAGTATGGGGTTCGGTGACACAGAAGGCACACCTTCCACCAAACCAATTCTTCCAGAAAGACGTAACAGGTTAGTGGATTCTTCAACGAACAGCATCAAATTCTTTAAGCGTAAATATTTCTAGCCGGCGCTTCGGCAGTATTAACTTGAGCATAATATTCGCGTAATGAGGCTAACTGGGAGTGCAGAAGAAGGTGACATTCTACGCGCGCCATGTCTTCTGCCTTTGGCTCTTGGGACTCCGATGCTGAATTCGGAAAAATAGAGGTTGAGGATATCAGGAACAACTGGGACAGGCAAATCTTGAGCATTGGTTAAGACCACTACCTCAGAGGTAGGGCGTTTTAATTCTTCTGGTATAAGTGGAGGTTCCTTTGATGGCTCCGTTGGCCATTCGGACTGAGGTAAGTTAAGGAAAGATGGACCCGAAACCCATTAATAGAAATGTCGAATGTCGTATCGACACGCGTAGCGTCATCCGCCGCATTCAAAGCCGTCGGTACATATCGCCAGTTGGCCACGTTCGTAATTTCGGTGATTTCACCGATGCGGTGCGCGAGGAATGGTTTCAACGTACGAGCGTCGCTACGAAGCCACTATAAAACAGGGAGACTATCAGACCAAAAAGTTAATTTTGAAATTTTAATTAATTTGTGCGTTTGTCGTCTCGCAACATACATTGGTTGCGAGACGATACGCCATGAGGCTTGAAGCTCAAGGCGCGGAATTGTGTTTTTAGAGGCGTTTAATCGTAAATCCACGACGAGGCGCGAGGCGGGCCTTACCACCAATGAGGCTGAGCTTCAAGCCTCCATCAAGACACCCGAAGCGCCAATAGGTGACGCATGCATAGGCGAGCCCACTTGCATCGGTGAAAATGTGAAGCTGAGCCTGTGGATGGGCTTGCTTGTGAGCTAAATAGTGTCTGGGAATAGCACTCGAAAGCAACGCCTCATTTTCTTGGAACCACGCATTCCACCTTGCAGTAAAGGCAGGAGACAGCTCCCGATCCCATTCGGTACACAATCGCCATGTTTTTTTTGAAATAAAATGCGACCGCGAATAGATAAGGTCGTTAAGAGCCCGAGAGGATCGTATAGCCGCATCAAATGCGACAAGACGGAATGATTGGTTAGGTTAGGTTAGGGCTTATTTAAAATTTAACACCCACGATCTCATCTCTAGACAGACTTGAGCATGGACGTGAGTGATGTCTAGCTTCCTAGCGTCCTCCACCGTATTGACGCTACTTTTTTTATAATATCAAGTGACGTGACGAACAAGTCATGTGCCTGATGGTAAGCTACACACCTGTCCATAACAGTTGCAGTACCACTCAGAACTTTAAATCGCAAAGATCTGAGTGGCACTGCCACTGCGCCCGCTTATTTAGGTGGGAAGTGAATTAATTGTTTTTTGTCATATTTTTTATATTGTTAGGCATTTTGTTGTAAATTTCAATGGATGTTTAATATGGTCCTTTCCTTAGATTTCTAGAATCGATTCGAGGTTCAGTAGGCTTTTGTTGAATTCAAACAGGTTTAGATTATATCTTACAAACGTGACTGTTCCTGAGTAAATAAAGAGGGGAAGGTTAGTAATTGGAGGTTTATAAAATGCGGCTTGCAACTGTCAGATTGTGGGATATATGCAAGTATACGAACACATTTTTTTTTGGATTCTAAAAACTGCAATGGCATCAGTATTATGGCCCTACAAATCAAATAGAAACATAAAATAGAAACATTGGTTTTACAATTGTTTTCGAACTTTTTCTAAAGGGTAATACTCAACGGTACTCAAAGGGTGCTCACTCAATGCACACACACGCCACCTGCCGTCTAGCTGTGCTTATGTTTGAGTTTGAGAGATTGGATGACTTATCGTTAAAGAGTCTCAATGTCCACACCAGTTCTTGTTTTGAGATTTGCTTATAATTTCTACTTGTTAACGGAACTTGCATTTGAATAGACATTGCCTGCTTTGTTGTTGAATAGACACTGCGAGCAACAGGCAGTGTCTATTCAAACAGTTCATTAAAAGTTAAAGGAATTTTCAGCACAATGCTACCGCATTGCCAGGGAAGTGCAACTAGCAAGGGATTGCTACGTTAAGGCTGCAGATTTATATAAGAAGAACAAAAGTCTCTTCCATGCCGCCAAAGCTTTGGAAAACGTCATGATTCTCTGCAAAGAACACGCAACTGATAATCAAGTAAGTATTATTAAAATAAATAAGACGTCCGTGATATTTTTAACATCAATAACTGGAAAGTGATTTTTGCCTCTATTTGTATAATAATACAAATACAGGCAAAAATTTTGTCATCACTTGTGTAACTCGAGACCCATAGTTTACGAGTACATTGACATTAGCTGTTTAATATTACTTGTAATTAGTTTTTTAATCAACTTACGCAACGATATCTATTTACTATTGAAGTCTGATTGTAAACCTTTTGTGGTGCATTGTGGTCCCCTAAAAACAACTTCCTCTGCAGATATACGATTGGGCCATGGATGCATCTACTCTCTATCAAGAACATGGTTCCGGGGACAGTGCCGCTAACATCCTTGATAAAGCAGCTAAAATACTCGAACCAAGATCCGCAGAAATGGCCGTAAAACTGTATTTACACGCTGCGGATGTTTCTTCTGTAAGTACCTAGTTGTATAGCTTATAATTTCACCACACACACGACGCCTTTTTGTATCGGCGGTTGATAATTATTTTACTGATCTCTCCGCTCCGTACAAATATTTGACCTTTATACTTCACTCCATTGCACTTATCATTATCACCCATGATGCAGATAAAAATCACTAAAAGTCGTCAAAACCTAACATCAATGCAGTCGCAAGTACGCAGGGGAATAAGATCGTTTTAAAATTCACCAATAAATATTGTCAACTGATTGTTTTCGGTCAGTAAGTATTATGTCCAGTGATGGAATGTCTGTATTTATTAGGAATGAAATGACAATATAAATTGGATCTTTACTTGTCATTATAACCTGGCGTAGCATGTACTAATAAAACTTTAAAATGATTTTGAACCTAATTTGGTAACAAGATAGATGATGTATTTTTTTTAAATTGTTCTGTTAACTTTGCCGTTTACGGAAACAAGACTAAAGATTTTGGAATAAACAAAAATAATAAGGCAATTTGTTGCTGTTGTATCCGCAGAAGAAGAAAAACAGTTAATTGATTGATTTGTTTCTGTGTAACATGTTACTGGTCATGATATATCTACATATTCGATTCATAATATGGCGATTCAGTTTTGTGTCGTACATTTCTCAGTCACGATATCATGTCATAATATTTATTCATCGCTTTAACGATAGGGCCTTTACTTTATAGAAAATCAAGACGTCTCTGATGTATCAACTGCCTCCGTGGCTGAACGGTTACCATGTCGGACTGCCACGAATCATGTGTGACCTGTCAAAAGCGTTTGATATAATCAGTCACGAATTACTCTTGGAGAAACTATGTCACTATGGTATGCGAAGCAAAACATACGATCTTCTGAAATCATTTTTATCACGCCGAATTCAGACAGTTGAAGTAATATCAAAACAAGTGGGAAAAAACTACGCAGTAGTGGAGGTGACGTGAACCTTGAAATTCCTCAAGGATCTTCACTAGGAAATACCCTCTTCCTGACATTTATTAATGACCTACCGTCCCATATCAGTGATGGCTTATTGGTTTTGTTCGCTGATGATACCACTGTAATTGCGTGCGCCCGAACTTACGACGAACTCAATATAAAAATAGGAAATGTCTATATGAGTCTGATGAAATGGTTCATTTCCAATGGTCTCATACTGAATGCTGCTAAATCTAGTTTAATATTGTTCTCTGGTAGATCAATCCCAAGGCCAATGTGTTTGGATAGTCCAAAGCCCATAACTGACCACAGTAAGTTCTTAGGATTCATTCTGGATGAAAATTTAACGTGGAAGCGTCATATAAATTCTATGTGTGGTAGACTAAGTAGTGCGGCTTATGCACTAAAAAAATTAAAACCTGTCGTTACAGATTCCATACTACGAGAAACATATTTCGCATATTTCCACTCCATAATGTCGTATGGTCTCGTGACTCCACTGATTCTGACAGGGTATTTATTATTCAAAAACGAGTAATGAGGATACTTGCCGGAGTCTCACGAAGAGTCTTTTGTAGGGACTTATTTGTGAGACACAGGATAATGACCATGTATTCGTTGTATTTATATGGAATAATCACATTCATACGAAAAAACTTACACAACTTTGAAAGGCATGAAAGCCGTTATAACACCCGCTCCACAGGACGACTGAGGGTCGTACCGCGACGATTAGCACCATAGCACTTACTGAAAAAAATCCGCGCGTAATCGGCCTGGCTTATTATGAGCACCTACCCGTTGACTTAAAAAATGACCCTACTGATAAAACATTTGATCGTCGACTGAAAGACTTTGTTGGATAATGCGTATTATTCCATTGAAGAATATAGGGACATGGTCTTGTAATATATGTTGTAATTTATAGATTATTAGGTATAAATATTATTTTACAGAAATGAATAAATTACATAAACTTTATGCATACAATCATTATATTGACATAATTATTATTATATTATTTAATATGTTCCCACATTATTTCACATAACTACACTAATTATGTTAAAATTACGTAGTACAAAACTTGTACTGGATGTTTGTAAATTTTTGAAATGTTAACATTTATTACTATTTGTAACGATTCTTGTAATACAATATATTGTATATAATAATGTAAAGTTTACAAAATAATAAATAAATCTATATCTAAATCCACGCAGAGGTCCCAGGTTCGTTCCCCGGGTCGAGAGAAATATTTATATGGTCTACATTTATTTCTCTCATGAGTTTGGGTGTAATTTGTGGTTGTCTATATGTGTGTCCATGGCACCCGCGGCACAGGGGACTAGGGGCACCTAATGCGGGCCTATCGTGAGTGTGGGCGTTATTATTAATTAGACAATATCAAAATGTCAAAAAACCGCTTACGTACAGTTCAACAGGTTTAATTCCATATTTGTAATTTAGTACCAGGGAACACTATATTTATTATTTAATTGCAAAAAAGGGCGTGTTTACGGCACATATATGCTATAAAATATCGAAGCGATGCTGACTGATAATTAGTTTCGGTCTACTTTGGAACGATAAGTAGATGCAACGATGGGATACAATGTGGTGATAATAATATCATAACTTGAGTTTTGCGAAGGATAAGTACTAAGTAATCAGTTTCGCTCGTAAGCTACTAGCGTACGGCCGCGTCTTATCACCAATACTTATTAAATCGCGTAGTAAATTCCACTGTTTCTCAAGTTTGAAAACATGAATAGTTTTCAATGCATCGTTTGTACTGAGAAATGGATGATGGACGGAGCCCGGTGTACGGCATGCGGTGGTATGGTTCATTATCACTGTGGCGGGATCACGGAACTTGGATATTCAAGACTAGGCGAGAGGAGATCTTCGTGGCGTAGCTCTAAGTGTAAACAGGCCGGAAATCGCACTCCCTCCCCGAGTACCATACCAGCAAGTCGTTCAAGCAAGCTCAAGTCTCTAAGAGAGGAGATAAGCGTTATAAAGTCATCTATGCTCGAGTTCACTAACACCATAAAGGAGTTGAACGCTAGAATCGAGACACGATTGGCCAAAGTAGAGCAGACAGCGAAGCAAATCTCTGACATTAAGCGGCGCTATATTGGATGAGCTCGAGAATGACCTAGCCAGTAAGGAACAATGGTCTCGAATGAACAACGTTGAATTAAAAGGAGTCACTCAACGAGAAATGAAATCTTAGTCCAATTGATTACTATGTTGGGATCAAAAATTAACTACCCGGTTTCAAAAGACAAAATAAACTTTGTTACCCGAGTGCCTCACGAGATCCGAACCAGGTTAAGCCTATCATAGTATGCTTTAATAACCGATATGTGAAAGAAGATTTTATAGCTGCAGCCAGGATAATATCCAAAGAAACACATATTACACCTGCTTTTCTTTTGAATTTGATTGGAGATACAATACTAGTCAGTATATATCAAGACCGAACGTGATTTATCGAAAGTTGTCTAACTGATAAGTTCTTAATTTTTACGTTTTTTATAATATCACAACAAAACGACAGTTTGTGCATCACTGGTCCGAAACGTGAGGATGTCGTTTTCCAATATCGACTAAGTCAATGCTTTAAAGTAAGTTTAGTCCATTATTTGTTGCTTAATCACCGCTCGTTTAACAGCTACACAAATCTATACGCTATTCCTCTGCGCCATTGAGCGCCTTTCTCCTTGCATTCTACTTTTTAATCAATTAGTATTTACAATAATAATCATTAATGGCTAAGCTTAATATATATTACCAAATGCTCGTGGCCTGCGTACAAAAACTAATACATTCCTTAGGAATATTTATATGCATAGGTATGACGTTGTGCTTATAACTGAGATTTGGTTATTAGATGGTGTGCATAACAGCGAGCTGTTTGACGACAGGTATCTAGTCTCGAGGCGTGACCGCAATTACGGGCAAACGTCACAATCCCTGGGTGATGGCGTACTCATCGCGGTGCGAAGAGACCTATCCGTGCTAGAAAACTGTCAGTGGCGCAACTCTGCAGAGGATATTTGAGTGATATGGACGTTAAAACATACTAGACCTACAGTTTCTTATAGAATACATTTGTGCACGGTATATATATCGACTCATCCGAAGAACAGAGTCCTTTGTGATTATATAGCGAAAAGAGTATAGGTACATTACGAGAATAATTTCGTTATTCAAACTAAGGCCCATGTCAAGGTGTTTTGAGAATTTATGTACCTTATTTCTTTTCGGAAATATAAAACCAAACAACAGTCGATCTAACATACACAGCGAATAAAAACGAACGAAATGAACAAGTAGTCTTGCACACAGATCTGTGTTCTGCGGATGAGTCGATATGTAATGAAAAAGGTAGTAATTCATTGAAAACACAGTTATTAAACTTTTCAAATAAAATGTGTAACATTGCTGCGCATCAGCCGACTGTTACATACATTATAGCAGGAGACTTTAACTTGGCGGATAATATCACGTGGACTAAAGTTTGCGGTGAGTTGGAAATTCGACCTTCGGATATTTCAAGTGACTCTACATGAACAACTTCATTGACACTATTGATACATGTAATTTTTCACAATATAATGGTGAGTATAACCTTAATAAGCGTATATTTGACCTAGTTTTCTCAAATAGCCCATTAAGTATTAATTCATGCCCCGATCCTTTAGTTCCAGAAGACAGTCACCATAAGTCACTAAATATTATTGCAGAGTTTATTTAAATTCACACTATTATACAACAACTACAAGTAAAATTTTTATATCATCTTGATGATTACCAATCAATTTCATCTACTCTTAATAATGTAAAATGGGACTCATACTTGAATGCACATTCTTTAGAAGAAGTAGTCAATCTCTTTTACTGTAAACTCTATGAGTGTCGGGACATGTATGTACCTACTAAATTAATTAAAAGTGGGTTTCATCCTCCTTGGTTTAATCTCATCAGCCTTATTAAAAATTCTAAAAGAAAAATATAAATTTCACCATAAATATAAAGTATATAGTAATATATCTCGGATTATCACTCGTTCACATTGCTGCGTAGAAGATCTATTGAATTTGAACAAAAATGTTTTGATAATTACCTAGATAAAGTTCAGAAATCAATTGTTGACAACCCTAAACTATTTTGGTCATAATATGTGAAAAGTTTAAAATGCTCTAATTCCTATCCTGGTGTCATGAAGTATAATAACACTACCGCAGATACAGGTGAAGCTATTTCCAATATGTTCACAGAGTTTTTCTATTCTACCTTTACAGCGCAGGATCCTTATCAAAATAAATTACACAATCTGCCTATCAGTGTAACTCATGGTGCCATTTCTATCAGTACAGTTGAGATTGTTCTATCTATGGTGCTTAAACTGCTAAAATCCCTTGATCTGTCTAAATCTGGTGGTCCTGATCATATTCCTCCTGTATTCATAGTAAAGTGTGCTGACAGCCTTGTAGTTCTGCTGTGTTTGCTTTACAAAAGACCTCTAAATAAAGGCATCGTTCCATCAATATGGAAATCTGCATTTATTACGCCTGTATATAAGAAGGGTGATAAACCACATATTGAAAATTATCGTCCTATCTCCAAGTTATGTGTTTTTGCAAAAATATTAGAAAGGCTGGTATTCAGTTACGTTTATGCAGTGCTGAATCATACATTTAATGAATACCAACCTGGCTTTTTAAGAAATAGGTCCACCATCTCTAACTTAGTCACCGCCAATGAATTCATAACAAGAGGCATAGAGGGCCATGCACAAGTTGATGCAGTTTACACTCACTACACTAAAGGTCGATAACAGTCGGTCAGAATTTGAGCTTGTTTTAAGCACTCGAAATCATACTCAAGTCCCTGCCATTAGAGTCGTATTTCCAGTGCTTGTGTTTCCAGTGCAATCCTGACTTGAGCATTGAGTAGAGTTCTAGAATACGACCCTAAATGTTCATCTGGTGTACCGCAGGGTCCTTGGACCTTTATTATTCATCATCTTCATCAATGACATTGGATCTTGTTTTATTCACTTGAAAATCCTGCTCTTTACTGATAACATGAAGGTGCTAAAAGTCATACGTGGGCAAACAGATGTTGACGATCTTCAGGCAGACTTAAGCAGATTTGAAGCCTACTGTACCATAAATAGGCTTGAACTTAATGTTTTTACATGATATTCAGCTGTAAACCATCAACTATAGGCACTGGTTACAAATTACATGGCACCAACATATTGAGAGTCAGGGAAATGAGAGACTTGGGTGTACTCCATGACGACAAACTACTTTTTGACAAGCATATTGACTGTGTAATAAGTAAGGCATCAAAGGCACTTGGATTCATTATTCGGACGTCGGCGACGTTCAATAATATCAAATGCATTAAGTTTCTTTATTGCTCTTTTGTACGGAGTCACCTTGAGTACGCTTCGCAGATCTGGAATCCATGCTATGAAAACTATATGTTTCGGTTGGAGGCAATTCAGCAGAGATTTTTACGTTATCTGGAGTACAAAACCAAAACAATTTTCGTCAGGTTATGAGCACAGGTATACTAGTTACCATTTTTTGCCGCTTCGTGTACGTCGAGACATTAGTGACGTCAGTTTTCTGATGAGGATCGCCAACGGTAATATTGATTGTCCAGAATTGTTGTTACACATAAACCTGCGCACAAACTTGTTGCATTACAGATGTCGACCACCTCTACAAGTGCGAGCACTAATTATCAGCAAAACATGTACATGATGCGTGTTTCGAGACTTTCTAACTATGCGACAGTAAATCATTCTGAGAGTCGTATTCCAGAACTCGAAATCATACTCAAGTCCCTGCCATTAGGGTCGTCTTTCCAGTGCTTGAAATCATACTCAGATCCTGACTTGAGCATTGAGTATGATTTCAAGCACTGGAAATACGACCCTAATGGCAAGGACTTGAGTATGATTTCTAGTGCTTTAAATCATACTCAAATCCTGACTTGAGCATTGAGTAGAGTTCTAGAATACGACCCCTAGTTTGATTTGTTTTGTTCAAGCATAGGCACAGTCAGGCGAGAAATGACCAAACGTCACATGACACGTGATTGGCGATGAATACACTGGTTTGTTCGTGTAATTCTTTTTTTTACCATCCTCTAAGGTTTAATTGTATAATAATAGTAATTTTTATTTTTATTTTATTTTTTTAAATTTATTGACTGCGTTCTTAGTATTCTCCTATAATCTCTTTTTGGCTTGCTAAGCACTTTATATTGTTTAATGTTGGTGGAAATTCGTAAGTGGCATTGGATTACTCATATTTAAGTATACAATAATTGTATTATTTGTCCCTGAATTTTCCTAAAATGTATAAATAAATAAAGAAATAAATACATAACTTTTGTTTTTATCTTTTATAATCAGCTTAAAATCTGTAACACTAATGTGCTAGAAACTTTTAGCATATTTTCATTTACCATCTTTCGAAGATTTTAGATGAATTATAAATTTTGTATAAGATGTAACGTTACGAATCCAAAACAAAATCGAGTTTAAAGTGAAGTTGTTTGGTTGAACCTTTGCATTCGTACAGCCTTCAAATAATACTTCTGTTTTTTTTTCCACCATAGAAAATATAAATAATAATATAAAGTATTTTATTTTTAATATATCTTTGATTTTCCTGGTAACCGAGACTATTTTATTGGCATCATAATCCTTATTTAGTTGAAAAACCGCAAAATTGTCAAGAAAATCGATAAACTTTTTGTTTGTTTCCAATACTTGCGAGTCTTCATCATGAAACATTTTTAACCGACTTCAATAAAGGGAGGTTCTCAACTCGCCTGCATGTTTTTTTTGTATGTATGTTACGCGATAACTCCGGTATTTGTGAACCGATTTCGATGATTATTTTTGTGTTGGAAAGAGTCCTATTTAATTTTGTATTTTCTTTTACGTATTATTTTTGTGGTGTACGAATTTTAATAATTTTACATTGTTACCCGAAAAAGTAGTCTCGATCACATACGTATTAGTTCATATTTAAAACGGTTTGGTGAAACTAATGTCCATTTCCTTAGGCGCCTATAATCCGACGATATCTTTTGTCGGGCAGACGGAGAGTGGTCAACACCAGGGAGCTGAATACTTGAGCAAGGCTTCCCGCATACTCGTGCGACTCGAACGGTGAGTTGATATTATTTTTCATATTTTAAGTATGTCTGTCTAAGGGAGTTTTATGCCTAGCACAATGAATATGAATATATTATATATGATTATGTTATCGTCGTGGGGTGATTTCAATCGTGATTTTGCGATAAAAATACGATTTAAATTTAATGCTCCTAAATCATGAAGAACCACCTGTAATGAAGGAAGAATAGTTGGATAGTAGCAGTGGCGAGATAGATTCCGCGATCCTACAAAGAAATTATAATAATATACTTTTTTGTCCAAAAGGAACAGTCGCGAAATAATCTTTGCAGTGTGTGTAATTAACTATATTTTACAATTATAAACTTGTTGGCAAAGATGTGTTAAACAATTTTCCAATGGTCTTGTTCTGTGTTACAATTTTCATTGACGTCATGTGATGTTGAATAATTGTAATTCTGTTTAAATTATTTGTGAAGTACGTTTTACGATCATTGATTGCAATTATGAGCATAGAACAAATATTTCTTGTGTTGTATTTTTAGGTCAAGGTTTCGGTGTACATTTTAAAAAGAAACAAAAAGAAAGCAAAATATTTATAAAAGTTTTTGTAACTGAGAATAATGATAATCATTGTAGGTGTCATTGTAAACTTACACAAACGGTTGTTAATCTACTAATTTGATTGAGAATTTAGCATTTGTAAATTAAAATTTTTCATTTTAACTATTATCCTACGAATTGATTATGCTGAATACATAAAAGCGCTCCGCGACAATACGTTTTATTGGACTATAGCCCCTTTTATCATCAGTCTTATCAACAGTCGCTATGTGATCTGACTTCCTTTGTTTGTGTATTAATCTAATTGCTTATTGGACATTGAAGCGTAATTATACTACATTCGAAACAAGGTAGCACAGTGCTTTGACAGCTAGGAATCCTCTATGAAGACGAACGACGTACTAATTTCGGTTAAAATAATAATAATAAATAGTACGTCTGCGTTTCAATAATAATGAATTGTGAAGTTTGTATTTATTTTATTATTCGTCATCTGTACTGTATTACGTTGCATTTTTTTTAATCTAGTGGTGTCCCACAAACAGCAAGGTCGTAATGTTGTATTATTAGTGAAATTATGTATAATGAAATTGAATATCTTCTTGGTTTTTATCGAAACGATTCGAAATGCCACAAAAATGGTTTCAAACCTAACCTAAATTATAATATACTTGAAAAAAATCTTGACAGATTTGTAAGTGACCTTTGAATTTGTCCTAAAACAATATAGTTTAGGAGAAAAGATCTACGAAATTAAGAGGATAATAGGTTTATTTATGAATATATAAAATGGGACCTAGAGAATGTAAATTGTGTAGGTGTGAGTTTATAGTAGTGGAGTTGGTGGAATGTGTGTGTTGGGAAGGAGCAAATACGAAGAGGTCGGAGGCCTCCGCTTTCACGCTAAATTCCGAGGACGAAGGTGCAGGATTGGAGGATTGCGACGAGCACGACGAGGTAGTCGATATTGAACATCTTAGAAGAGCCACGTGTCATAATAATGAACACAATATGCGTAACTATTAATAACCAGTACCATACCAGCGCTGTTACTAAGTGGACGTGTTACAACTCTAAAACGATATGTCGTTATCGTCGCGCTGTGTAGGTTCGACTATAGACATAATTTACAAATTAACGCTGTTACAATACGCATGGTATAAAATTACCTCTGGCCCTCTTACTGCAAATGCCGAACGATAAATGAATGAAATATAGTGATCTGCAAACTAAGGATAGTCACGCATTATATAGATTAAAATTAGTTTTGGTTTATAAGATTATGATTATTTAATTTTTTTATATTCTGGATTCTGCAGCCTTATGGACTTTTTATTTTAAAATGCAGTCCTATTTAAAAAATTGAGATTTTTCTAATGAACAAGGTCATAACGATCGGACTTGAAATGGCGCAGGAGGCAGGGTAGTATCTCTGAAATTTTTGCACGTTTTGGCCCCAAACATTGAGCAACATAGTTGTATTCAGTATTACACGCGAAGCTACAGTCGTCATGACGTCGTCGTTTGTTAAACAGGGTATTAAAACTAAAACACTGCATGTATTCATTATAAAGTAAGTAGTAATAGTTATAAACTATTTTAAAAATATTTATTTCTAAAACGAAGTCTATTAGATCAAGGTAGTAATTTTTTTTGGGATATTTTTTCATTGAATTGTTATGGTAATCTATAGTATAGAGTATTTTTTTGAGATACTACTATGTTCCTGAAAGTTTTATCGAATTCAATATTATTCCTTCTTTCCTTGAAAAGTGTTAAGCATGGATAGTTTCGTTAAAACTCTGAATCACGAATATTTTATGTTTAAAAAGGTAACATTATAGACTCTGATCAATTTCACGATTTTGTCAAAACTAAGGAACTGAATAAGAAGTATTCGAAAATACTGGTAAATGTGTAGGCTTTAAATACATATAGGTAAGGAGAACCAAATAACAATATCGGCTGAAATAATTCTAGAAGAAACTTTAAAATTGCTCTCCTGAAAAATCGATATTTTTGAGATAATACCCTGTTCATCTGGACCAACGATGATTTCGTTACCGTGTATGTTTACGCATTTACGTTATACGTATTTTATGAGAGTACAATTATAATTATACGTCCTTTCATAGGGAAATGGTATTAGGTATACGGTTTACATATATACCACGTAGACACCACCTAGAATTTATAATTACTCGAATTATCGCCGATCACCTAAATGAACTACGATACGTTGCAGTAAAAATTATAGTGACGCGGAAAATCTTCACCGATTTGCCGCCTAGTGTGTCGTTATACTAATCAATTACTTCTTAGGTACGATGAGGCAATGGATTCAATTCGCCGTGAAATTGGATTTCATCAGGAAGCGGGCAATATAGGACAGATCGGAAGACTTTGTGTGGTGGGCGTACTTATTCAACTTGCACGCGGAGATGTTGTGGCTGCCGAAAAAGTTTATAAAGTAAGTCACCGCAGAATAAGTTTACAAAGTTGAGATCAATTATGATTTAAAGCAGGGGCTTTAAATAAAAAAGAAATGTGTTACTTAAGTGTAAGTTTTGCGGTCAAGTATGTATCTACTGTAGTACTCGGGCACGTTTTTTTTATGTCTGTAAGTAACGGAGTTTACTGGTAATAATATATAGTGTTATTGGAAAAATTTCAGGAATACTACAACTAAGGTACTCTGGGTAAATAAGGCCCGGGATCCAAAAAGTGTATTTAAATTAATTTCTATGGCATGATACAGTGTGTAAGTTTAGAACGGTCCCATAACAACTCAGTAACACGGCTACGATTCAACTACGCCGCCATATTCTCAGACCAGAAGGCCTACTATGTTCTTAGAGCAATCCTTTTTAAGCCTGTAAGCTAAGCCTGTAAGTTGGATTGCCTGTCAAATTCGTACTATGACCTCACAAAACCAATTCACTGTCCATGCAGTTTACGTTCCCCATTCGAAATCCGTTCACCTTTTGTTTCATAGCAAAATCATGACGTGCTATATGCCATGCAAATGGCGGTCTCATCCTTAGAGGATGGAAAAAAAATAAAAGTCCATAATGTAAGGTCTCATCTGTAAAAATAAGCAATTCAAAAAAGTTTCTCCTTTCCACTTTTCAGATTTCGTTACATTTTTAAGAAATTTCGTTTCAAGTTTGATTATATTTTTAGTTTCATAATTATTTGTTATCTTTTGTATAGGCTATTTATCCAATTGTCATTAAATAAATACAATTAACTATTGAGCGTTTTTTGAATATTTTAGTTCGAGTTCCCAATCTTTAAAGTATTGTTAATAAATTATTGGCATGAATGTTATTGCAATTTTTAAATGGAATTTTAATAATTTTATTGACCGAAAATCGTAAAATAGCTTTTAAATAGTGCCAAATTTAACTTTAATGCAATCAATGAAAATGTACGAATACGAGATACGTTCCAATTATGTTATCAAATTACAAACTCACCTTATTAATTTCAATGATAATGACTAGACATGATATGTAATTTTGACGTACGACAAATTGTAAAGTATGATTGAAAAGTTGCCGATATTTTAAAACAACGTAATAAGTATAATCAATTCTAAAATTTATAAAAAAAATATAATTATTCTCATTTTGAACACAATCGGTTAATAGTGCTTGAACGCTCTCAGGGTAGTACATGTGTCTATTTCTTTCATATGATTTGGTATGTAGTTCCATCTCGCTCTTGTTAGATGTCAGCTAGCCAGCCAGAGACAATAATTAACATTTAAAAAGTAAAACTCATCCTGTCATGCCACTTCCGTTCAACATTGTGTATGTCATGGTCCGAATTTAAGCAATTTAGTTTTACCACGTCAAGTGAATTGCATGGAACTTGGCTGGCTGCTTATAAGCTCTTAGTAGGGCCCCAGACACGCCTTTCGTTGCTACCGGTAGTAGCTCGCCTCTTTAATTTTCAAGGGCAACAAAATGTCAGTTTAAACTTTAGTTTAATCGTGATTTCTCCTTACTGTTTTTAAATGATTATAAAACACTTAACTTTACTTTATATTCAGACGTCATCTTGCTTTTTGGTTTTGTTTTATTTGCAAAAACATCAAATCGTGTTATAAGGCACGACAAAAAAAAAATTGGTCCTTATTAGTCGTTATGGGCCTCATTATTACACGAAGTTAAAATGAAAATATTTAAAAAAATTTGAAACTAATGAAATAATGGTTTTATTTACATACGTTCAAATTATTGTATTCAGTTTAAGTAGACTACTTACCCACATTACATTGACACTTTGATGAAGGCTCACCAAATATTTTCTTTTTGAACTCTCCTTTTGTTGTCTTCAGGCTACTACAATGTCTTCATCACGAAAATCACGAGCAATGTAATTTTTTAAATGCGCTAATTTATTGGGGACTCTTATAACCCATAGCCGTGACTCGTTACACGTAGCAGTGTAATAAGGCCCAAAGTAAGTATTTCTGATATGATATAATATTGTCAAATGACAGATTGGTCATAATATATTAATATTATATTGGTCTTAATATTTTACTTTAAAGTTTTAAAAAATTGTTATTTTGGTTGATAGAAACAAATTTTAAAATTGTTTTGTTATGCTGGAGAATTTTGTGTTCAATACTAATTGTCATAGTTCCTGTTCAGCTTCGTAGGATTGAGTTACATGTAGAATTTAGTCATTTATAAATATTTTTGATTTGATGAGGAATATAATTGCGACAAATGACTGGTTTACTATATGGGCCTTTCATGACATACGATGTTTAATAAAGCCCAAAATTAGGGTTTATTCAAATGCTAAAAAAAGTATAAATTATTACGAAAGCACCAAAAATTGTACTTTGTCCGATTCAGAGATAAATAGAGTATATGGAACATAATTAAATCATTTCAAACCTTGAATCATACGAGAATTTGGATTTGAACTTAGGTGGGCCTTATTTGCCCAGAGTGTCTTATTTTTAGAAATAGAGTACAAAGACTAGAACTTTTAGAAATAGAATATAAAGAGTACCTTTTTCTTAGAAAGCATAAGGGGAGCCATTACGACCCTTTGGGCCATTCTGGTATAATATTTACAGTTTCCTAAGAAATTAAAAAAAAATTAGTGGCCCTCGTCAATGCGTAACTCTGATTGTATTAATTTGGTTAAAACTTCAGGCATTCTGTCACAGGATTTGTACGTGTACATGGATCATTTACCGGTGCTAATCCAAGCAAGAACGATTTTTGTATTTAATGATCATTTGGTTACAAGATAAGGGATTAATAGTCAAATAACAGTGAAGTCTGATTGGATACTTTATGCACTTACACATATATTACTCCATTATGATGGAATTACTCGATTTAATTCCGCTTTCCCCTTTCCAACACAGGGGGACTAGGCGTAAGCTTGGGTTCCACCGCCATGTTGTGGATAATCCATAGATTCGCACGAAGCGTTACGCTTCCACATTTATATGGCGAACGGCTATGGAGTGGAATTCCCTGTCTGCAGACTTGTTCCCTGAACGTTATAAATTGGGGCCTTTCAAGGCGAGAGTGAATAGGTATTATTTAGGTGTACATGCTCCATCGTTGACCTCATCGTCACTATCCATCAGGTGAAATGGAGGTCAAATGCGCACTTCTATTTTTTATAAACAAAAAAAATTACATACTTCACAATATTTAACGACCGTAATAATGGTAGTACAGGGTCAAGAGCACGTGAAGCTTGACACTTAAGATTTAAATCCAACTATATGCTGCTTACGATAAAAACGGTCCAAAGTACGGAGTGTCTTGATGTGTGCTTGACTGTATCATTTTGCTAACGTTTCACAAATAAACTATACGTACGTCAATAACCATATTACCACACACAATTCGTAGAACACAGTGATTTAAAGAGAGACCATTAGGGCTAGCACAACAGGGCGCGACATGCGCGAGAGCGACATAAAGCGAGAAATACTGTGCCATACTCGCGTAGAGAACACGCGCTTTATGTCGCTCTCGCGCAAGACGCGCCCTGTCGTGCTAGCCCTTCTGTGGTATTAAGGGACAGACAAACAGGCCTAACAGCAAGGTTGCACTTTTTTCTTTTATTATTGTGGATCATTTATAATTATGGGTAATTGTACCTGTTCAGAATTATAGCTTACCAATGAAATTTTTGCACCTTTTGTCTTGTTAGGATGCAAAATTATCGAAGCTAGAAAGAAACCCAAAATGGTACCTAACTATTAGTACCTTCAGAAAATGTTGAATAGATTCAACTGTCCAATAAGGGAGCGGGCAAATGTATTAAGCATAATTCTTATAATGTAGGAATGGGGTAACTCCTGTGAAGCTCCTGAGATGACTACGATTGAGCAGGCCCTTCAAGCTTTCGACGAAGAGGATCGGGAGGCTGCACAGCGCGCTCTGTCCTCCCCCTTTATCCGCTCGATGGACGTAGACTACGCACGCCTCGCTACGAAGATTCCCCTTCCACAAGCAATAGAGCCCGCACCTCGTGCTCAAGTGCGTCCTAATGCGGCTCCTTCATACGTGAGCGCCAACGCTGTGGTACGTTATACACACAGCGCGCTTATCTCATGCGCGGCAAGTACAATCCTTTCTTTCCAAACCGACTTCACTGGGGTACCAAATACGTATGTATTATCTATTTGTATCGAACTTACGCCGCACGCTAACGATGGACTTCAAACAATACGGAGCTGCCAAATGCCGCGCTGATGGCACGCTTCAAATTAACGTTTTTACATTTTGTCATAATGACTTATCTTATCATAATGACTGCGACGCATTGTGAGAGAAGCTTAACAGCTTGGTGGACCAACTAGTCATCGTTGGCAAGCGGTTTTATATATTTTCACTCAATTCAAAATGTACCGTTTTTAAGGGTAAATGGTTTTTGAAGTCGGTTCATATACGTTTTAAACAGGCCGGTCTATTTATAACAGGTTTTGTTTTTAAAAAAGCCGGCTTGACTTAATTCGTCCTGTATTTAGATGTTTTTAATGTTTATTGTTGTTTCCTTGTCCCATTCCTTTTCCACGTTCACTATACATAAATTCACCATACTAGTTTTACATCACACTTAGGTATTTGCAAGGTCATGCGGTATCGTAGAACATTTTTTTTATGATACCGAGTGACGGGACAAACAAGTCGTGCGCCTGATGGTAAGCGACACCCTTGTTCATAACAGTTGCAGTGCCACAGCTTTAAATCACAAAGTTCTGAGGGGCACTGCCATTGCGCCTGTTACCCTAAGACTTAAATTGACAAGTCCCATGTGCCTGTAATTTCACAAACACCCTGACTTTATAAAACTGAAACGTGGTAATGGTCATCAATATGAGTAGTTAATCTACTTATCGGCAGAAATAGGTAAGGTGGCAGTACTTGACTGGAAAAACTCTTTCACAAGGGACTCTACTATTACTAGATTCTTCTTCCATAAATAAAAAATTTAAGGCTTATATGTATGTGGTATGCTTAAGAATAGTTACAAGTTAAATGACACACGTAATGCCACCCTGTTTTGATGAGTTTTCATTTTAGCATCAGTTTATCTGATGCAGGACACGGGAAGCGAGTTAAATGTGAAGAAGTATCAATCAGTGCTTGCGTGCCCATTGCAATCGTATTTGTCGTGCTGCATTGGTGCCGTTTGATCACATTATTTCCGATGAAGTTTTGCCGTTCGATTTACAATAAAAAATTTTCAGAAGAACTATCTTAAAATGCTGTATGTCTTTCCTGCTTGGTATACTGAGTACAGGACTTCAACGGGAATAGTGGAAAAAAAACGATTAATGTTCATGTCCTTCATATTTAGTTTCTAAGTGAGGTGTGTCTGTGTGCCCTTTAGGCTGATGCCGAAGTTACTGGTACCAATGTGAATGCCAGGCCTAGCGCCTCTCAAGGTGAGCCAGGGATCTACAGTTACCCCGATGAAGAGGACAATGAAGAATCACCGTACGTGGCAGTCACATACGGTAAGAAGGAACAGAGCGATGAGGAAGAAGAACTATGTTAGACTGCTAAGTGAACGCTTAATGCTGTAAGTTGTAGTGCCGCTATACTTAGGCATGACTGCAGTCTGACAAGTCTTTCTAATTGTATATGAGGTACTTGCTCATTCTCCGATAAATGATCGCAGACTTTAAAAAATATATACCACATACCATAAAAGGGTTGTAGGGGTAAGAAAAATCGTGAAATATGTGAATGGAAATGTGTGTTTTAGTGAAGTTGTGTGATCATGATGTGCCCTTATTTTCGAAAAGAGTAGCGTCCCACGATCGCGATGCGTTCGGTAGGCAGAATTCATGTCACCTACTTTTAAAACGCCAGTCGTGGCGACTGGAATCTGCTATGATATAGCTTAGTATTAGCAATTTTGCTGCATCGATGCAGTCGCAAAAGCACATGTGTTTGGACTCTTATCGCAGATGAGTATTGCCACGATTAATTTCTTTACGTACCGTATGTGTAATGGGCATTACATTCATAGTGATCGTAAGTACCCTCTGGCAGTTTTGAACAGGTTATATCGGATCAAATCTTTGAATAGCGCATCAAGAGACAGATATATGCTTGTGATCATTTCGTAATCGTACAAACACTGAAGGCTTCCCCAATAAATAAGGACAGTCAAATGTGGTCATTAAAGATTGTAATCATATATCAACTTGACCGAAAAACTGTAGTGTATGTATACTTATACCAATTCTTATATTAAAAATATCTTTGTGTAAACCGTAAATTTCATGAAGTAACCGTTTCATAATAAATTAAATAAGCATAGATAATAATCAATACATACATTACATAGCTAAAAGCTAAGTAGCAAATACGAGTAGAGTAGAATAATAAAACGAAATGATAGCATAAGGTTCCTTTGCAATTATATTTTGATTTGACATTTTTCACATATACAACTAAACTACCTCCATGGCTTAGAGAAAAAAAAAACCTAGAAAGTTTGTATAGTAATGCTTTCTAAGGAATTACATATATGTCGTGCAGAGAATATTTTTTAAATTTATATCTAAGGACTGTAACCTTACTGTAATTATATTCTGTGTATGGACAGAACAGGATAGCCCATTCGGGGTAGTTTAAGTTTAGCTTCTGGCCGAAGCTTATAACAACTGGAGAAAAGTTGAAATTTGAAATGTGTTTGCAAAGTTTTAATGACGCCGTTTTTTCGTCTTTGTTTGAGTTCCGGAATTGTTGCCGTGTGTATGTATGATGTTTATTGAAGACCATTGTCGAGAGCCGACAAGGTTGTAATTTTATACCACGAAACTTGGGGTACTAACTGATTCTGGCATTTTTTTTAATTTCGTAGTTTTGCCGACCGAATTTTAAAGAATCAATTTGAAAACTACCAGGCCACAAAAAACAGCATTCAAGCTATTGAAATTAATGCAATAAATTTAGCCTTCGATTACATTTGCAAAGTGTTAAACGTCAACCACGCTTTGATAGTTAAACAACCAAATAACAGATTGCAAAGGTAGTCGCCATTTCGCGGTTAGTTGCAAAATGGCTGAACCAAGGGAGCGGAATTTTTAAAACGGCAGCCTAAATCTTGGAACTCGTTGAATATTTTTACTTTTTAAATATTTTTGAGTTCATCAAATTAACAAAAAAATTTGAAAGTATTACTTAAAAAAATCATGTTTGATTGAAAACATTTCCTGTTATTTTCACATATAGGCACTTTCATATTATTATGATATTCTATTCTAATATCATTTCGTAATTTTTATTGGTCCTTGAAAATATATTAGGTCAGGACAGTTTCGAGTTTTCTAAGTTGGGAGAAACTGATGACTCCACAATTATTTAAACGTTTCGAATAATTCGAGTAATTTTGACAATGCTTTTGCCATTCGCTGCGGCCAGCCGGTTAAGCCTTTACATGCGTGTTGACTTCTAGATTGGTTGATGTATAGAATAGTTATGACATTTTCAATGCTTGGCTCCTTTCTACACCTTATTCCCATTTCTGTTATAGAGATATCTAGATTAACTTAGACAGTGGAAAATTTAGATTTGCAGAACTTAACTTTTGTATCGGGCGTCTCGTGCCGGACAGGCAGAGAATATTGTAGATAGGCTATTTTGCTTCATGGAGATGTTATTTTAAAAGTAATTAATACCCTTTCGATCGACATTATATAAAAAAATACAAGATTTTTTTTTCAAATTTGTTGGGTTTCGATTCCCAGTTAAGGCAAGCAACTTTAAGTCTTTGAATGTAGTATTACTAAAATAAAATAATGTCTCCATGAAGTCAAATATCCTATGTGTTCGCGCCAATGCCAAGGTAGACGGCGCTTAGGTTAAGTTTACTTACTCTCATTTCCTTTATAACATTTATATCGCAATCCTTTTCACTCCGCTGCAACTGAACTACTGTTCGTAGTTGGGACAGTCTAGAACTAATCCTTACTTTCAAACGAAAATAGTTTTGCAGCCATTTGACACAATGCACATTTTGAATGGCATGTGACAATTTAACATTGTCAGGTGAAAGTCGTTCCATGAGATTTTTGTTAGCTTGAACATTTAGGGTCGCGTCAAATTGCCACAGCTAGGAAACGTTGCAAATGCAATTAAACGAGCAATGCAACATAAACTTTATCTTCTACAAGAATAGTTGAATTTCTTAAAAAAACAACAAAAATGTAAAAGAAAATGCAGCAAACGGCGCCGGGCGGCGTTGAGCGTGACACAATGCAATTAATTTAAAATATTATATTCACTACTTAATAAAGCATACAATTATTTGAATCCTAAATAACAAAAGAGTAAAGCCGTTCGACGCAGCTCGCTACCATAGTAGAATAAGAAGTAGGGTAACTCCGTACAAACGGTGCAGCGCGGCTTGTATGTGTGCGCGTCTGCCTGTCGCCGTGTACGATCACACACATTGCCATAATCTAATAATGCTAGAGCATTCTTAGATTGTGCAATCGTTAGATCGTTTGTGGAACAAAATATAAAAATCTTTACTTTCCTAGAAATATTTACCGTCGAGCGGGTCGGTTTAAAAATATTGTATGTAGTCCATCCAGTACATCACGTTAAAAAAAAAGTGAAATACGCATATTTAGAATAAATAATTGATTCAATATTAAACATTCATATGTATTTAAAATATGTGTTGACATGATGTCTAGCAGAAGCTAGAGGAGAAATTTCGTAGATATAAAAGAATAAAATGGTGTAATCGAACTATTAAATAATATATTGTATTTTAGCTTCTTGTGTTGTATAATAATACGTTTCGCTTGTCTAAAATATAATTATTATTCAATATAATAAGTGTTATATTATGTATAACTTTTATTTATTACTTAGCACATATTTTTGTCGTTGTTCAGATGATTTGTTTGTCAAAAAAGTGATTTTGTTCAGAAGTTACGTATTTAAAATAGATACTTTTTATGGCATGTATTTAATTTGATCATTTTAAATTTGCAAGCGGCAGGCAAAAAATTTAAACGGTCATCTTTTATAAATTGATCTTCTTCTCTGAGATGTAAAATAAATTAAATCAATGGATAATCTTTAGGCAGGCAGGGTGGAGGTGGCTAGTGCAGTGAGGGTTTCATCGCTGCACTAGGTTCCTTCGCGTTTGGATACCACTTTCCACTTAACATCAGGTGGAGTGGAGTCATTTGCCTGTCATGTATAAAAAAAAAAAAAAATCTGTTCTGAGCTACGCATTGACTTACAAATAAATGGACGACGGGTCTAATACAACAATCACGAAAAAAATGTCCCAAGTCAACCTATTTAAAAGTAGTGACATGTAAAGGAATATGAAAAAGCTAAAACGTTGAATTTAAATTGTAATGTCATCGCAGTACTGTCTAATTTTGCTTGCTTCGCTGTCAGTCGAACAAACGAAGACTACAGCGTGAATGACGCTCTGTATACGATTTTAACGCCCTATAAGTTCGGACACTTTTTAGCGCGGACCCGACGTCCATATAATTGTAAGTCAATGGAGCTACGCATATAATGTTCGACTTGTATTAATTCACTTTGATAGTTTTATGTTGGGCCCCAAAACTAAGACAAATGACCAATAAAAATACAGCTAGATACTTTTTAGTTAAAAGTTGATTATATTTGTATACTAATATAATATTAATTATAATATGATTTGACATGAAAACATGTTCGAAAACACAAGCAAATTGCCTGCTGGCACTCGCCGACCGCTGCCGCTGCTTTTTCATATACTTACTAACCTAACCTAGCCTACTGAATGGAAGGCGAAACCAAGGTATCAAGCTTTTTAGATGATCGACAGCAAAAGATATACTAGTCATCAATCGTTAAAAGAAAGACCGATAATAAAAAAGAGGATCACATATTATTTTTAATCAAATATTAATTATGTTTAAACATAATAATAGTGTTACCGTGAATGCAGTTTATTTATAATTTGTGCGTAGATCAACTAATATAGATGGAACAAATTAATGTCAAACAAAAAAAAAATATCGTTTATTTAAAAAAAAAAAGTACACATTTGAAATGGATCAATTATATCTTTGAGGATCAAATAATATTTATCCCCTTTTTATTTTGGTTTTTTGTCATTTAAGGCCGTATAATTTAATATTGTACATCTATTAAATAGGTATTTCTAAACAATAATGACAATGTTTTGATGATGATAATGTTTTTTGTCATTTAAGGCCGTATAATTTAATATTGTACATCTATTAAATAGGTATTTCTAAACAATAAGGACTGTATGTTTTAACTAGTTAGCTAATTAATACGTGGTCTATAAAGACAATGATTTTTTTAAAATTCCTATGCTTTAAGTTTATGGAAAAACAAAGTGATACAAAGTGGCAAAAACAAAATGGCTGCACAATTAATTTACTCATAATATTTGGAACAAAAAAGAGCTCACCTAGATACTTTGCTGCACCTACAGGTATTGCCCTTATATATACAATGTCTATAATATACAATGTAATATTTCTTAATATAATATGAAAAATTTTAACAACGCCGTTGCCATGTGGTGGCTTTTTATTGTACGGCAAGGTAAAATATTATTAATACTTACTGAAGTTTTAAGATACGACACAATAGATAAAGTAAGTGGCAGGTTACCATATACTACCTAACAAGTTGTAGTTAAGTAAGAATAGTAAGACACTCGGTTCTATGGCACGAGATATTTTCAATATTATATTATTATGAAGGCTATTTTGACAAACGACATTTGATTTGCGTTGTTAGCGCACAATGTATTGTAATTATGTACCTACGTACCAACTTGGTAAGTAACGAACTTATTACAAATGATGATCAGTTAGTTGGTCGTTGTCGTAAACACCATTCAAATGGTTTTTCAAATAGACCTACTGTAGTTCGTAAATTTATCGAGATCAGAATATGGAAGTTTATAAAATTGTTAGTGAGATGGGTTCCGTAACATGCAAATAAAGTTAAAATCGTAAGCACGAATACAATAATTTCTATTAAGGGAATCAGATGAGGCTACCAGCAACTACAACTAGTAAGGTTCGAAATTAAGAATATTGATTGGGACAAAGACAAAAACCAATACGTATTATAGAACCCAAAAAAGTGATATTCAGAGTTTTAAGGCAAAAGGATTTTAGAAATTTTCAAATGGGGCGTCGCGGTGTAGACGGCTTACAGTATAGACAGATGGTTTGTACTTTTAGAATGTTATAATGGAGTGATGATCAAAAATCTTTGAATTTTAAATATTGTTGTGTATGTAATCCGAATATTGCCTAAAACTCCTACCATATTTTATCAGTCACTACTCACTATGGAAGACGTGGCGTTTAGTACTTTAGCTAAAAACTTTTCAAATGTATTTATTCAATCGATATTATGATAGACATGTAACTTGTGAAAAATATTAACTATACATAAGCAGATATTTATGTATGTAATAATACAATACGGTTTTCAAGAGGGAGTGGTACCTTAATAGCTGTTACACGTCTTTATCTTATATTGTAATTGTTAACCGCACTATAACAGTTTTTAAAATGTTACTTCTATCTAATAAGGCCAAAAAATAAATAAAATTTCTCAAAAAGTCGTTTTATTTTTACATTACTTAATTTTAGAATGTATAATACTAAATACTTGACATAAACACGGCGTAACAATACAGTAGAACGCAAAATAGGCGCCTTGACGTCGAGTTGCGGACACCAGCCCGTTACACCAAGTACCAAGTACAGTAGAACACGCCCTCAGGGTGAATTTATTTACGCATGTACTATTGCTGAGAGCTTCATTGGCATAAATTTATTGGACAAATTTCCGTTACACTTAAAAAAATTACCAATTCAAATAAAACGTGTTTTGTGTACAGTTTGCGCAACGAAATCTGTATAATGCAAAAACGAAATCTGTATAGTGCAAAAAAACTTTATAACGATGTCGCATTGTTGTTAACAAAATTCTACAATAATTATATCCATGATGCAGACCAAGGCCAAGACAGTGAACTGATGAGGGAAATTCATCGACAACGGTTTCAAAAATGTAAATATAACAATTCCATTTCACAATACAAAGTTCCAAAACAGATCCGTAGGGTGGTGAAAAGTAAATAAAAATAAAAATATTATTTTATGCAAACAGATACATACATATCGGTTACTATGTGTAATACATTTTTGATACTGATAAATTAAAGTGACAGCTGGGCATCAAAGCATAAGAGCTTAGAGAGATTGCTATTATTTATTTTTAAGAATATACAAAAAAGTTAGATTTTGTTGCGGTTTGCAATCAAGGAACTACATTGTATGTAGGTGCAATGTAAACACAGATGAGTCATGTCTTGCTAGAGATATTTCATTACTTGAGTCAATATTGTCTATACCAGGTATCTATTTTTTCTTTGAAAGCATTAGCCCAATATAATTGATGAATATCTTATACAATAAATCAATTTCAAATTATTAAAATCAATCTTGAGTGAAATCCTAATCAAATTTTTTTGTTAAAAATAAAATGTCTATTCTGTCCAAAACTAAAAACGCAAGCATTTTACGTAAAAACTTATGTAATGTTACAGATAATGTTACAGTAAATGTTTTTGATCTTAAAGTTATTTATTTATAGTAATAGCCTACTACATGCTACACTTCAAAAGTCTTAAGGGTGCTACAAACCAACAGCACTGTCACATAAGCTATTTGCAGTTGTAGCAAGTCAATACTGACAGCATTGTAAGTGCGCTACCTTGGCTTATTTGCTGTCAAATGGTCCAGAAGCATGTCCATGCTTAGCAGCAGTTGTTAATAAAATGACTGCAGTTTGGCTTAGTGCATGACCATTGTTCATTTAACACCATAGTAATAATACCACTTTTAATCAAACATAATTTAATGCTGTTGCACACAGTTCACAATTAAGCTGCCATATGACAAAGATGTTTTAATTACAAAGAGAATAATAGTTATATATACAATTAATAAAAATTAAATTTTTAGCAAAACCAGTTTGCTATTCGATATGTTTATGGTGACATTGTATCTAATTTATATCAGTGTTTATAATTTTACAGAATACACACATGACAACATGTAATTAGACCATCAGTCTGAAATTCAGAGAGAAATGTTGAATTCTCTATATCTGAAACCCTTTAGAAGCTATAGTGCTTGAAACCACTACTGGATTTTGGAATATGTTTCCAGATTTTAAATTTCAATTTTAACTTCAGAGTGGCATTACAGTTTACATTATTAAGCACCTGTACAGGCAAAAATTGCTTGAAATTAGAAGGGTTAGTTAAAGTTTATAATTTATTATTGTTAGCAGTGAATGAATTATTCTGCGCAAAGGATGAAAATGATTCAGCCAAGATACTTCATCAGCACACATTCTTCAGCACTTTATGGTCTAAAAATATGTCCATTGGACAGTTAGCTCCTTCATTTTCATTGAAATATGTAGTATGGCTGTGCCGTGTTTTATACATATCTGACAGGACTGACAACAGCCTTTACGCCACTCATGAATTTTATTGCCTCAGGAAGGAAAAAAACTAGAATCTAACAATAAATTCGCTTAGCATACACCAAACGCGTTATTCAAATAGCACACAAAGAGCAGAACACTGTCATGCACAGTAATTTGAAAGTTTCAATATGTTGTTTTCTCTATATTGGAAGACAACAAATTCCATCTTGAGATTATTATAATCCTAAATTACAATTTTTTATTGCATATACCAATTGCCATTTTCTGTAAGGCATATATCACTTCTGTACTATCATATGCAACAATATTCAAACTCACTATATTACGAGCTATATCTATGCAAATCACCTAATTATTGTGTTGGGAATCTAAGACTGTATGTTCTTATGGCCAAACATTGTGTGTATGTATGGTGCGACCATGGGTGCAACAGCAGGTGCAGGTTCTGGAGCTGGCTCCTTCTCTTTGTTATTCTTGGTTTTCCTGAACTGGAACCCATTCTTGCGAAGTATCTTACGCAATGTTTCCCGAGAGCCCTTGAAGTTAATTTCTTCTTTTAAGATCTGCAGCAACTTGTTAATAGTAGGCACCTCTTTTTTAAACGTGTAAAACTCGTGGATTTTTCTCCTAATGACTTGTAGATCATACTCATCAACTTCTATTTTGCCTTTGGTCCTAACTCGTTTTTTGGGGGTCTTCCTTAGCGTCTCAGGATCCAGCAAACCTTGTTCCACCAGACGTGCCTCTTTTACGATGTTTAGTACTGTTCGTTCTGATACACCTACAAGAAACATAAAAAACATAAAACAAACACATCACAATGGGAACAATTAAGCAGTTAATAGGTATTTGCACATCTACCTATGATCCTGACGCTTAGGCCAGATTGCACTGGCTGTGTTCACAGGTCGAAACCGGATAAAGTATATTATAAGGGTGTGTAAATGCCTAATACATTGTTTAATCGCGGTTATTCCTGTTTTTAAAATGTTAGAATAACTCAACGCGAAAGTTTAAAAGTGTACACAAGCGTTCCTCGGCGCTTTTGAGAGATTATTTGCTGGCTTACATAAAAAAAGCTTTTTGAAAGCGCCACTGCTTCACGAATAGACAAACATTGGCACATTAGAACAATTAAAATTTGTGATTTGAATTGATCGCTAGAAACGGTAAAAGTTTGTGATGTATATAAATTTAAACACTCACCAGTGGCTGCAGAAACTCGAACATATACCTTGCTCAGCGGTATTATTGGCACTTGCATTCTTTTCTCCTCGTCCATAAATTCTTTCACCTTTAGTATTATATCGCGTACTTCACTGGTAATATTTTTAGGCATTTTGTTCGCAAAAAAGTAGATTCTTTAAAATACCTATTGTATCTTCGTATATAGATATAGTCGGAAACAACAACACCTCGCCTAAATAAATGGCCGCCGCGTTCTGTCAAGCACAAGCTGTCAAGTTCGAATGAGCGGAAAGAGTTGTGGAACTGGCGCGAATGAAAGTGTTGTGAATGGAGTGAGTAATTGATTAATAAAATTCGGATACACATATAGCGAACTTGGGAAAATAATGCCAAACATTTTTTATTTTAATTACATATATAATCGAGCGATAATGCTGTAACACTCAAAAACTCGACTTTTCACTGGAGCCAAAACAAAAATTGCAAAAACGAAAAATAAAACGTAACTCTGAAACGGTTCGAGTTTTTTGTGCCAAATTTAGCAAATAAACCTATATAAAAAAAGGGCTTCTTCACAATAAACTCGGATTTGAAATAGTCCTACTCCTAATGACAATTTGAATTTCATACTTTAACCCCAAAGAATACTGTAACTTTCAAGTTAATTTGTATGAAAGTGTAACTAATGCCGTCAATTTACGGTATTTATAAGAGTGATGTAAATGAATTAGAGCTCCTTATCACATTTTGGTCTTTAAATGTTAATTTCTTTTAACGTAACATTAAAATGGTGTTAGTGAAAATCACATGCAATTTACATGGCTTTTAAAAAATATTATTAAAAATAACCACTATTTGTGAAAAAGTTTTTGGTCACAATGAGTACAATGAAGCAAATCGAATTTTAATATTGGCTATTTAACACAATGAAACAAAGTCATTGACACTTCGTGTGCCATATTACATCGTTCCTAGAACTGATGAATTATAAATTCCTTAAATTCTATAAAAGAATAATAATCTACAACTAATCTTACTCTTGATTATTAGTTTACATTTTCTGTTATATTTTCTATTTTAGTTTATTGCCTGGACCTACAAGGGAAAAGATTATCTACATGTTGAAGATTTAAAATTATTAGGTGTTAGTATCAATTCAATAATAATTAAACCATCCCTATTTCTCGTAGGCACTAGGTAATGATTAAAAATTGTAAAAATATAGAAACATTTTATTGTGATTATAATTCAAATTAAAACCAAACTATATTCATCCATTAAGCAGACTTCAAAATTAAAAAAAATATTAAAATTAAACCTTCTAAATAGTGTCGTAACTCTTTGTCATATTCCATGAACTGCAACCCGGTTGTACATCTGTGATATTTTCGGGTGGTAACTGATCAATTTAAGGTTAGCTCCAGGAGCTAAAACCAGTTTCTGCATTATTGGTATTTTTAAAAGTACACATTTTCTGTGATCATTTCAGTAGATACTTTGAATAAATTTTTCTCAGGGTTTCTAAACGTAGTCCCCGTTCGTTCGTGGTAGAGACTAGTTTTGAGTTTGGCGTGTTGCATATCTTTTGGTGGCATTTAATCTGGCTAAATTATTCTCGGTGGAAGATTGTTGCACATTGGATTAGAGTACATTTTATTAGAACCGTCGAATGGCGTGGTAATTTGTTTTTTAAAATTTCAGTCTAAGGGTCGTATTCCAGAACTCTACTCAATGCTCAAGTGAGGACTTGAGTATTGCAGTGAGTACTGAAAATCATACTCAAGTCCGTGCCATTAGGGTCGTATTTGCAGTGCTTGAAATCATACTCAAGTCTGCTCAAATCCTGACTTGAGCATTGAGTAGAGTTCTGGAATACGACCCTTACTTTATTTTGATCTAGTAGCATAGCGTTTGTCGACAGAAAATTGTTTCTTTGTTCTCTTTGAACTCACTTAGGCATTTTCTTCTTTTTTGTGACATTATTTGTGTTTTTATATTTGTTAGCATGTGTAGAATATATTTTCTAATCTTTAATCATGGTGATTTGAGTAAATTTCACTATAATTTAAATGCATCGTATTTACGAGTCCTACGTAGTTCATTAATTTCTGACTCTTATGGTCTGAATAAATGAATAAGATTAAATGTAATAAGTAATAAAATAAAATACGGAAAAGAAATAACATTTTCAATAATAATTGAAAAAATACTTTCGATTTTGCAATAAAAAATCTCGGACAACACACACAAGTACCCTCACTGCTGCATGCGTAGTCTCTAAAGATTGCTGTAAGTCGCGGTGTCATTAAGCGAGGGAAGGATAAAATGACGTAAGGAGAAGTTCTGTACTTGTTTATATTTGTTTTTAAATACCGTAACACTCATTGCACTGTTAAAACTCGGACTTTTAAAACGCTATAAATCACATTTTTACGTCCTTAACCACACTCAAGGAAATGCTGTAAGTGGTACAATTTTAACATTAGGGATGGCAAAAATGCTGTAATCAGAGGAACAGAAAAATTTAATTACGAGTTTTTGATGTAACGCACATTTCGCAAACAAACACTGGATTTATGTGTGTTAAATCGTTTTAAAATCCCTTAATCAGAAAAATTTTAGTGATATGACACCCAGATCAATCGAAGCAGAAAAAAAAACTGAACAAGAATATGCAAAAAAAGCATTTTTGCAGGTATAGCGGGTTACAGCATTATCGCTTTTCAGAGACGATATATAGATATGTATCTAGATATACCCATACCATGTATTAATTAATTAATTACTGTTTCGACTTCTGGATTTAAGGATTTCTTCAAATCCGGTTTTACTGCAACGTAGGACAAAACTACTGACCTTGTAGCGAAATAGGATTTTAACCTTACTAAATCTATGGATTTTAAAGTAATTCTAATGTTGGGATGTAAAATATGCAGTAGATAACTGACCATTTACTAAAACGTAGGTTATAAAAAACTAACTACTAACTAATAATGAGAATGGTCACTCTCCGCCCGTCCCTAGTTTTAAATACCGTAAATTGACGGGACGGCGACATTTGCTTGCAGAATTAAAAAAAAATGTAATTTTCATTGCGAGGGGAATTTGAGGACATTTTAGTTTGCACGAGTGTCGTTGTGATCGCGCTCTAAAAATATTTTATTTAAATCCAAAAAAGATATCACAGTATAACAGATGTTCATAAATTCGAACCATTATCAGAAATGTCGTATTTTAAAAGGAAAATCTTCACAATAGATTATTTTAATACTTTTTATTAAAAACAACTCCTGGACGCTTAAGACGACGAAATGCCATTTTTGACAGTCAGTTTCCCATGTACGGCTTACTAAGATGTACGGCTATTTTTCTTTTTATACGTGTGGCGCACTATAAGTTTCCGGAAAGAAAAAGAAAAAAGTACTATAAATGGTCAGAAATGAATTTATTGATTCTCAAAACATTCTCCGTTAGCGTTAATGCACTTTACAACTATACAAATGAACCAATTTTGAAAACATTTATACCACTCCGCCGTGATAATCTCTGAAACATATTTTACATACTCTTCGACAGCCTCTTCAGGTGATGAAAATCGTTGACCGCGTAACTGGTTCTTAATTTTTGGAAATAAATAAATGTTACAAGGTGCCAGGTTGGGACTGTACACGTGATGGCTCATAAGGTAAACGTTGTTCACCTTCAAAAATTCATTTGCCTGTCTGGCCGTGTGAGAACTACCATTATCGTGGTGAAAGATGATAAGGAGTTACGGTTATTTTTACGGAGTTTGTAAATAACTTCCGGCAAACAAATGGTGGTGTACCAATCACTATTCTTGGTACAACGATTCTCCAAAGCAACAGTAGCCACGTGTCCAGTTTTATTAAAAAAAGAAGCAATCATCCGCTTAGAGGCACTTTGGACGCGCGCCACTTAGGTTGGTTTCGGCTCACCTCGAAAGACCCCCACACACACACACCCACACTCGATTGCTGCTTTGTTTTGGGATCATAACTATAAATCCATGTTTCGGTCACCTGTTGAAAAACAGAACTTATCTAAATTTTTGGTTCGAAACAGACGCAATCCAAAATGAGGCACTTCAGATCATAAAAGATTCTTTGAATCCAGAAGGAGTTTTTGCGATGTGACCTTTTGCTTAATAGCGACGTGCGCTTGCTATGATTGCCGGGACACAACTCACAAAAAGGCTCTATAGCTTAGAAGTTAGCCACGAAAGTGCAAAATGCCAAACATGCATTTGCGTAATTCCGTTGTTTATAATGCCAAATCGCTAGGTCTCTTCGTGTAGTATCAGAGTACAAAAAAGTAAGAGAATGGACACTCTCTGCCCCTCCCTAGATTTAGATACCGCACCACGCCCCGCACATTGACGGTCACATTGAATGAACGACAAGAAGGCTATCGGCGAGCCGTTTTCAGCTTTGATATTTGAATATAGTTTTCATTTATTCATCACGAAACTTTTACGTTATTAAATAACATCATTGTACGTTACTATTTGTATTGGTTTTGAATTGTGCTGTGTACGGCTGTTTATTATCATATATACGGGATAAAGAGAAGAGGAGTTTCTTTCGTTTTCCGAAAGATGAAACGAAAATGACAAAATCTTGTGTCTGAGACTCATTCAGGTATAGTTTTCTTCGTTTACTTAGTGCAGAGTAATTAATATATAATACAGATTTATTATATCAATATAATGAGATGCCATAACTTCGTGAGATAGTAGACAAAGGTTCTCGAATTTTCAATTTGTTTTGCCGATAAATATTACGTAGTGAATATACCTAGTTATTAACTAGGTAATGATAAACTTGGACACGCAATTTCAAATACCTTGGTTACCTTATATAAAACCTGTCCAAAATACAATCTTTTAAGTGCTGCTAATATATTTTTTAAATAAATCTCCAATATTATTCTGGTTAGTGAATTAATAAAAAATATAATATTATATCGATATAAATACCTAATGGACACGTATAATACTTAGGATTTCTAAAGATAACAGATTCGCTTAAGAATTGTCGCTTTGTTGCCGCTCTGACCACGTAACGTAAATTGTATGAGAAAGTGATGAGTAACCCTGTCACTTCACGTACACATTTGCGCGTGTGCGGATAGCACCTTGCTGTATGTAGTAGTAGTAGGTAAATAACTTTCGACCGTTGTATGTAGTGTCCGGGGTGTGGTAGCATTAAAATTCGACTGTTTT